AACTACTTTGAGATTTCATCTTAAACCAGTCAGAATGGCAAAGATCAATAAAACAAATGACAGCTCCTGCTAGTGCGAACGTAGGGTAAAGGAAATACTCATCAGAAATCAGTCTGGCAAATCCTCAGGAAGCTGGCAGTAGATTTACCTCAAGATCCAGCTATTAACAGTCTTGGTCATACACCCAAAAGACTCTATCTATATCCTACTACTGAGACACTTGCTCATTCATGCTCATTGCCTCTCTGTTAATAATAACCAGAAACTGGAAACAGCCTAGATGTCCACCAATACATGAATGGAAAATGAAGATGTGGTAGATTTGAACATTAGAATATTATCCAGTTGTTTTAAAAAAAATGAAATCATAAAATTCACAAATAATGGATGGAGCAAGAACAAATCATCCCGAGTGAGGTAAACCAGATCTCAAAAGACAAATATATTTTCTTATAGATGAATGTTAGCTTTTAGGCTTTCAATGGATATACAACTACACAATCCATATAACAACAGAGGCTATGCAAAGAGTAAAGACTGGGGGGGGGAGAGGTTCACCCAAGGAAGGGGATATAGAATATATATTTATGAAAGATGGGGGTGTACTAGAATAGCAGTATTAAATGGAGAATAGAAGGGAAGATAACGGTTAGGGCGTATGGTAGTTTTAATGAGAATAGCACCATAGGCTCTTATATTTAAATGCTTGTCCCTAGTTGGTAGAACTTTTTGGGAAGTGTTGGGAGGTGTGGTCTTGTTGGGATGGGTTTGAGGTTGTTGGAAGAGGTATGTTCCTGGGGGTAGACTTTTATGCTTCAAACCTCACATCAGGGCCAGTATCTCTTTCTCTCTGCTTGCTGCCCTTAGCTCAGGATATAAAACTCTGCCTCTACTACAGTTCCATGTATGTCTGCTTCATGTTATAACAATCATGGACTAATCCTCTAAAACTGCAATTAAATGTTTTCTTTTCTAAAGGTTGCCTTGGCCATGATGTCTCTTCATAGTAATAGAAAAACAACTAAGACAGGAAGGGTGTATGAAGAAGAGAAACTAACATTGAGGACCATTTTTGAGGGGTCGTATGGAAATCTACATGCAGTACAAGCTTCTTAAAATATTAACATAAAATCTAAATGGAGTCACTAAATGAGGAGGGAGACACAGCTGAAACTAGACTTCTTTTGTCACCAACCTAAACCTCCAGTGTAAGTAGATTTCATTAAGTTAGCCAGAGGAGACACACTGAAACCTCCAAACTACTCAGGCTATTGCCAAGGCTATTGCTTGCTCTCTGCAAAGCGATGGGCAAAGCCGTATTGATGAAGACAGTACTTATATATCTCATCGAACATAGAGAATTCAATGTGGTGTCTATCCAGGGCTTTCTTTACCCCTACAGACAAGTGTTCATAGTACTAGAAGGTGCTTTGTACACATTCAGAGGAGAAAGGTCACTACCAGCCCAGCTACAAATCCTGAGGTCTACAATGATGATCTGCCTGCATGATTTACTGCATGATGTACAAATATTATGGGAGTAACCATCTGATTGGACTTAAGGTCCACTCTATGAGATGAAACCATGCCTGACATTGCTTAGGTAGCCAAGAACCTAAAAATAGATAGGCCATGGACCTAGGGGCACACCAAATACTATTGTTTTGCTAAGGGAACACAATTAAATGACTCCTAACAACATTCTCCTATACCTATAGGTCTATGTTTCATTCAGTCACCATTAGAGAAATTTCTTTCTGCAATGGATGGATACTAATACAGAGGCATAATACTGGACAATGTGTAGATAGTGAGAGACTTTTAAAAAGTCAGTCCTAAATGATATATCTCTATCAAATATACCTTCTTGAAGCACAGGGAACTCTGCAGAAGAGGAGGTGGCAATATTGTAAGAGCCAGAGGAGATGGAAGACATCAAGGGAGTAGTGTCTTCCAGACAAAACAGGATTCATGCACATAGGAACTTGCAGAGACTGTGGCAATATATACAGAGCCTGCTCAGATCTAAGACAAACAGGGTCACAATGCTGAGAGGAGAAGTGGACTGAGCTCCCATCCTTAACAAAGACACTATCTCCAATTGTCAACTGATTGCAAAGGAACAATTAATGTTCCCCAATGGAGCCTCCCTGGGTATACAAACCATACTTAAGGGTCTCAGGGTCCATGCCTAACGGTAGAGAGACAACACAAAAACAACTCAATGGTATTTTTGGAGAACATTTTTGTATTTCATACTTTTCTGCTTTGGCATTTTGTACCTCAGTAGTCTTTCACTTGTATATTACGTTTTCTGATTTTGTGTTTTCATGGATTTTATTTTCTTTGTGTGTATGTCTCTCTCTCTCTGTGAGTGCATTTCTCAGGCTTTTACCTTTTTATTTTATTCTCTTTTAACTGCTTTTTTATAAAAAAGAGTTAGAAGGCACAGAGTTGGATGGGTGCAGATATGAAGATCTGAGAGGATATGAGAAAGGAGAAAACAGTCAGAATAATATATTTCATAAAGAATATTTTCATTAAGAAAGTATTTATTGAACTCAGTAAGATTCTAGTAGTGAGTTTAAATTGTGAAACAACTGATATATATGCTTACATAGAATTTAATAAAAAACTACTCTACTTGTTCCTTGGAGAACTGATTACAGGAAAGGGAAGAACAGGAGTCTAGAGGTGAAATCATGATGAGTTTGATCTAACTTCCATGGACAAAGGAAATAATTGATTTTCTAATTTAGTTCATTAGGTTCCTTGTAATTAACCTCTCAGTCACCACTCAGTTTTTATTAAATATAAATAAATATAATTATTAAATATAAATAAATATAACATAAAAGTATAATAAAAATAAAATGCCTGCTCTTAGCTGTATCTATCAGTCTGAGTATGTGAATAACTTTTGTTCGTTATTTGGAGTGACTTTCATCTTTCTCTTCAAGACCTTAGTCTTCATGTTCCAGGATGTTTTCTCTGAACCACTCCTCTCCTGAGCTACTGGGGGAAGAAGATGCTAATCTGGGCTTTTATATACTCTAACATTTACCTTGTGTTAGATGGGTCCTACCAATATCTTAATGTCTAGTAAATGGCAAATCTTTTCCTCATTTTAGTGGTCTATGAAAATTTACAGTCTGCAAATTACTGAGCTAGACTACTTGAATGTACTATTTAAACATTGACTATGAATGTCACTTATGGAGGTTATTTTTAACCATCATTAACATTAAGAAACTGAAATTTTAAAATACATTCAGAGAATGTCTAAACATTTGTATCTAAACAAGTCATAAGATGCATGCCATACTCAAATTGGTTACAATGCTTCTAATGTGCTATTTTTTCTTATATAGTCAATGAACCATGTTGTATTTGTATTGTGCACGCAATACAATAGCACAATAAATTTAAGTCTGTATGCAATTATCCCATATCTTAGTGTGTGTTAAAGTTGGCCAACTAGAAGAAGTTGAAATTATGTTCCAAGGCTCAGTAACCTAAGGATATTTCAAAGTTAGTTATTATTGTTAATATTGCTTAGTATACTCGTGGAGCCCATTGTTTCCTTCCCTGCATATTTACAAAGTCATAGAGAACAATGTGAGGAAAATACTAAAAACTTGAATCTCAGTCATAACTGATCAAAAGGTTTAAAGGTTAGAACACTACTTTAAAAGCTCAAAACATACTGTTTTTCCATTTCATTATTTACATTAATTTATAGGCCATAGTTATAAAAATAAATATATGCTATAATTACTTAAATAACTTTTCCAACCAAATTAATAGGTTCTAGCAGCAAAGCCATCATGAATTAATCAAAAATTGAGTGGAATCCCAATATGTGACTCTCTGACTATGATTTTGTTTTTTTGTACCGACATAAGGATAGTTTTACTGGTTCACAATACTCCTTAAGAAGGAAATACAGAAGATAATTAAATTCTATCGCAAGCATAGGAAATTTAGATGTGAAATTTTAATTGACATGATTCTTTATTACAGATGATTATAGACATTATCTATATAACTATAAACAGACTTACTACATTATATAAATTTTATTTTATTTTATAAACTATGGCCACTGTTTAACACATAGGGATCTGTGGAAATAACAATATCTCAGACTATTTGTATTTAGAAGCTGGAGTTTGAAGGTCCCGAAGTAAAAACTACTGTACTAGGGAAAACATTAATTAAAAAAAACAAAAACCTCAAAACTTATTTCATACTTAAACCATATATAATTTATTTTATTAACTACAATATGCCTGCTATTGTGGTTAATTAATATTTTTAATTCACATTTACGGAGACCTTTATATACCTAGAATACCTATCTATTTCTTCTCATAGACAAAGCTGCCTCATAAAATAATCTCTTCTATTCAGAGAAACGTAAAAGTTAGTTATACTTCTATGAACACTAACAGTAAGGCTGACTTGAGGTTAGCTTAAGGAAATTGCCACAAACAAAATATGCATAGATGAATGTGGTAAATATTCTGTCTGGAAGAAGAGACTGAGTGCATACATTTGACCAACACTCCAATAATGAGTTTTAGCGCCCCTGATCTAAATGCACCCTCATCTTTCATCCTTTGCCTTGTTTGTTTATATTTAGTGTTTATCCCATCAAGTGGGGGCAGGAATGCTGGTTACATACACTGAAAGCAGTCTACAACTTAAAAATTTTCAGATAGGAACAGAACTTCAGTCTCAAACTTCATAAAACAACCAACTTTGTTCAGTTTGTCTCACATAACAACTTTTTCCTTCCCCACTTTTAAGTGAATGTGGTCTTTTTTGCCCCTCTCCCAATCAGGTCCCCTCCTCACATATTTAAATATGTGAAATAGTGCTCCCTCAACTTTAGTATTTCACTTTCTACATGCTACTTTTGTTACCTTCTAAATCTGCAAACACATGATTAACATCAACTCATCCATTGTCTTCTAGCTAAATAGAATCCCTCTTACCGTGAAGCCCTCGGAATACTGAAAAGGAGCCCTGGAACTCTCGTCTGCTGTTGGACTCAGAGGCTTGGGGTCAGACATAGAACGCTGCATCATCTTGGCTGTCTTAGGACTTGCTGGGGGAACTTTAGCCATATCTGGATGGAGTACATTCTGTGGACTTATGTCATCAGTGAGGGGTTTTTCATAAGGTACAAAGGCTGGTTCTAAGGCGTTGCCTGGGGAAAGTGGTGAGATGGGAGAGTAAAGGACTTTTGGAGATTTGGGTGGGGAAGGAGCCAGCTGCACTGTGGTGTCTGCCCGAAGGTGAGATGATGAATAACCAATCTCTAAAGGTGTTGGGCGTTTCTTGTCTTTGGGTGGAGATGTGGCACCCAGATATGGAGGACTCTGTGTGTCTGAATCTGTTTCTGTTTGACATCCTAAACTGCCCCCTTTGTAAGTCTTTTCAGGTGCTGAAATGTGCTTAATTATTTCTACCTTGGCATCCACCCGTGCTCGTATGGAAGGTGTTCTTATGGTTCCCACTGGTTCAGTTTGCACAGATATCTCTGCGACTGTCTGAACTGCTACACTGGAGACTTTAGAAAGGGGTTTGGTCTTGTCACCCTCTGTCGTGTTATCTCCATATTTTCCCGAACGCACTTTTCTCCTTGACCTGGAAGGCATATCCCATTCATCTTGATCTTCATCATCAGTTTGGACACTGGTATCAACACTTTTTTTAGTTCTTCTCCTCCTACTTGCATAATTCCGATCAGCAGTTTCTTCATCATCAGTTTGTACACCACTGTCCACTATCTTTTTTAAATTCCGTGGATCATCGGCCATGTTTTCCCCCATCTCATCATACTGCCCCCGAACTTTGGCTCCGGAACTTCTTTTTTTGGGTTGTTTCTCCTCTTTTACCACAACATCAGTCAGAGGTATCTCTGAAACAGTGTTCAAGATGCCAGGCGGAGCAATGTACTGCGTCACACCGTCAGACTGAACAGTGTACCATCCTTGGCTCTGTGGTATTTCAATGGCTACCACAGTGGATGCTGTAGTGGTGGCATCTTCAGTGGCCCAAAACTGACTGCCCTCTGGAGCGGCATACTGACCCTCCAAAATTGCCTGCTCAGTAGTGGTTTGTGGGGAAGCAGTTCCAGAGGGGTCATAGTTATACTGGTAGATTTGGCGAAGTTTTTGCTCCTCAAGCTGCTGGTGCAGCTGTTGTTGCAGCTGTTGGATCTGCTCAAGCTGTAACTGTTGCTGAGCTAGCGTCTCCTGCCTCATCATGAACTGGGCCTGCCGCTCTTCTTCCTGCTGATAGAGAAGATGCTGCTTCATAGATTGCAGCTCCTCCAGCTTCTTTTGAACCATGATCTTCTCTTGTTCTCGGAACCTCTGAATCTCCTGACGTTCCCACTCTAGTTCCTCAGCAAAGCGTTGCTGCTTGATTTTCTCTAGTTCCAGGAGCTCGCGCTCCAAGTCAAGTTGCTGCTGTTGTTTGTCTTCATCAGGGACAATTAAAAGAGTGCTTTCCTCTCCGACCACCTCAGAGAATACTTCAGATGCTGTGGTTAAAGTCGGAACAGAGTCTATTGTCTCAGCAGGAAGAGTTTCCATAGTAATAGTTTGCAGACTAGCATTGATGTCAATACTTGTTACTGAGATGTCTGTTTCTGATGCACCTGTTGTTATGAAATATGATCGAGGCATTGGCTGGCTTTGATGCAGGGCTGATAATGAAGTCACTGCATCTGTTGTGTGAATACCTGATAAATCCCTGACTGTGGTACTGAAAATGGAGCCAGGTTGAGTGGTGATAGCAAATGTGGAGGGAATTGGAGTTGCTACTGAAGAATAGACAACACCATTAGATGACCTCAAAACACTTCCCACACCATACTGGGGTCCTGGAGGTGGAGTCATTCTTGCTGTGGAATACTGCGGGGTACTAATCCCAACTCCTGAAATGACTTGGCGTGTTTCTGGGTATGGACCTGTAGTCTTGCTTGAATAATCCATTACCTCACCTGAAATACAGGGTAGAGTTATAGTCCAGTTCTCAGAATGAATGATGCTGTTTGGGTCTGAAAGCCCTTTTATCTTGATGAGCGCAATGAATGGGACTGCATGCAAATCCACAGGTTAACCTAATTAGATGCGGAAGAAAAGCAATGTTGAACATGCAGGCACATGCAGGCAACGACAACACCAAGAACCATGAAGAAACAAAAATGCACATGTACTTTAAAAATACTGCCAACACATCCAAGGAAAGCAAAAAAAAAAAAAAAATGTAAATAAAACTAGGGTTGGGCTATTTTTTCATCCTGAAACAAGATGCATAACACTGTAATGACATTTCTAGGCAGGGTCTATTGCTACATCATCATACTGACCTGTAGACACTCTCCCTGAAGTTAGATCTACTGCTGCATCAGTTCCTCCAGAATAATCAAAAGCATTCTTACTTTTATAGAAAAAATGTCCAGCTTCTGCTAGGTTAGTGTCAGACATGGAAGGTTTCATTCCACCAATCCCTCTGTAACCATATGGCCCTGATCTATCATATTGATAGTGGTCATCCCTATAACCAAAACGGTCTTCAGGAAGAGTAGTTGCAGGCTGCTGTGCTGTGCAGCTCCTTCCAAAGGGCAACTTGTAAACCATGTCACAGCACACAGCTCTTCTTCCTGCAGTCAAATCAACAGGTTTTTCATCATCTTCTATTATTTTGGTCACCACATTTGAAGTAGAGTCATCCATTGTTACAACAGTTCTATGAGACTTTGATGTGCTGAGATCTACTACTTCTCCATCAGTGATCCCCTGAGATATGGTGCTGTCAGTCCATCCATTTGTGACACCAACAGGAGGCACTGTGACAGGCTTTGTAACAGCCAATGTCACTGCCTGAGCTGAAGGACCTAGTGACAAGTTTATTGGTGCTTCATCTCTAACCATAGGAAAGGTCTGGCCACTAGGTTTCCTGTATGGTGACTCAGTATGTTTTGCTATAGTGAGCTGGAGTGGTGATGCCATTGCATGTTCTATACTCACTTGGCTTTCTGTGCCTGTTGTGTAAATTGTAGAATCTGGGCATGTGACAACAGCCACTGTCTCAGAGTCCATGGTGATTGGAGTTACTAATGAGGAAGGTGCACTGAGATTTATGATAGAAGGTTGGATGGCACTGATCTGTCTCCCATAAGATCCATTTGCTGTGGTTTGCCTTTTCACATCCATTGCTGAAGCAGAAAGATCCATACCTTTTTCAGTTGCTTTAGCTTCTGTTTTTGTTATTGTACGTAAATCAATGGCATCACCAATAAGTTGCAATTTCCCATTTTCCTTGTACTGATGCCTATCTAGAGCAAGAGGCTCTGGAGGAATCGGTATGGAAACGCTTCTCGGAGCAACACTTGAAACTGTACTCCTCGTTGTGGAAAATTCAGTTTTTGAACCTTCTGTTGGAAGTAATTGTGTAAGCGGAGTTGGAGCTCCTTGAAATAGAGATGGTGTTGCAACAGGGGCATCAGAAAATGTGCCCAAAGCTCCCGAAGCATACACAGTTGGCTGTGAGGAACTTGGAATTTCTATAGCTGTCATAGGAGGAACTATGGAAAACACCGTTTCAAGAGAAACCAGATCTTTTGGGGGCGATCCCAAGGGCCAACTGGTAATGGCTTGAGCAGCAGAAGAATCTGTTGGAGTCCCAGGTTCAGAGGGCAGTGTAATAACCACATAAGTCTCCATGAGAGACTTAGAATATCTTGGTGAGGATTTGTTAGAGTGTGGGGAAAGTGGTGAGGTAGGGGAAGGCAGTTTGTAATCTGCTGTAGTCACTAAATTTAAGGACATACTTGAAGTTAAAGATAGACCTGTTGGTTTGGGGCATGTATCTGTTGTTTTCTGTGTAGTCACTGGAATCTGAGGAACTGCTGGCTTGGGGGCAATTGGAGGTTTGCTTGCCTCTGGTCTATGTGTAAACACAAGTCCAATTGGAACTGAAGAAGGCTTAGGAGGGACAGGAGGGGGTGCAGTAGCACATATTTTGGTTGTAGGTAACCCATTACTCCTCCGAGCAGGTGTGCTCTCTACTGTAGTAATGGCATCAACATGGGTTGTAACAATAGTAGTTGGAGTCACTGGAGCTGCAACTGCCAACTTTTTTTTAGGATAAATGGCTGGCTTAGGTGAAGTTGCTGGGGGCAATGGTGGGGGTGGGGGAGGAGGTGGTGGAGGGGGTGGAGGAGGAGGGGGTGGAGGGGGAGGAGGTGGTTGGGCTGATATGTCCAAAGAAGAACCTCGGAGAAATGGACGAGATTTAGATGAAGGGGTAGAAACAGGAAGACTGCCAGATGGAAACCGATATGTGGACTTTTCCTGAGCAGAGATCTTCCCAGATAAAGAATGTGGAGATACAGGTTGTTCTTTCATTTGAGCGGCTATTACAGAGGAAGGTGTTTGATCTAACCCCATTTCAGGTAGGCTAATCGTTGGTCTAGCCTCAGACTCTTCCCTTTTATCTTTGTAAGCATCCAAAACTTCCAGAATAATTCCATCCCCAGTTTCCTTCCTTTCTGTTATTATATCTTTTTCAGATATAGGTAAGTCAGTGGAAATGCTCTCAGCTCGCAGCCTCTCAGCTTTAGTTTCTACAGATTCTGTGATAGAAGGTGCTATACTAGAGAAGGAAATCACAATATGATCAGTATTACTTCTAATTTCTGGTGTAATAGTCCTATCTACAGATACACTTATATCTTCTGGATAGTCTATAACACTGCCTGGAAAATAAGTTGAAGAAATTCCCTCAGAGTCTTCAAATTTTGTTATCACATCTACTGGCTCTGTATAAACAGTTGTTAGGCTATCCAGGGCAGTAACAGGTGAGGAGCTATCTGTGGTGCAAACAGAAGAAACAGATGATGTGAGAGAAGGTGTGTCAGAAGGTGGAACAGATGTAGCACTTTCTGAAGGCTCAGAGTAGGTCAATATCAGTGATTCATGTGCGATTATCTCTTGAATTTCTCTTGTATAATCAGTTACATATTCATCATCAAGTTCTTCTGTTGAAAAATGTTGGGTTATCTTAACATCTGGGATAGAGAGAGTTGCACTGCTGGTTGAATCTGTCAGAGATGCTCCAGAAAGGATACTTGATGTCAAAGAGGCATCTTGCACCCTGTCAAAGTCCATATTAGACTCTGCCATTTCATCCTCAACAATGGTCTGTATTGGGCTTGATCCATCTGTTACCTGCATTTGTTGTCGCTTCATGAGTTCTTCATAGGCACTATCAGCATCTAATAGTTTCTTTTCTTCACTGGTAGAAGTCACCATGGTGCCCAGATCTACTATCTCATGGCTTTCTGGAATGATATAAGAGCTTGAGACAATGTCTTCTTGAGGCACCACAGAATGTAAGCTTTCCAACTCATAAAACTCTTTCTGGAGGTCTGTGATTTTCTGCATAGGATCATCATAAATCTGCTCCGGGAGTCTTACTTTTTGCTCTCTTCCTCTCTGCTGCATAAATCCATTTTGTTCATCTTGTCTTGTGAGGAGACTGCCATCTACTGATCCATTATATGTGTCCTCTACTAAAGATTCATAAATGTAGTCCTCTATTAACATACCACCATACAATGGCTCTTTTTCAAACACTTCATCTCGTTCATTTGCAGCTGGAAAAGCTTTATATTTGTGGGGTTTATGCATCATTTCTTCATAAATCTCCTCAGCACTTTTTAAAGCCTTCTGAACACCTTCTTTCTGCATAGCAGATTGCTCATCTGTTGGTGAGTATAAAGACACAGCTGTGGGCAATTTATAAACTTTTTGAACTTCAATTATTTTCTCAGGGCTTATTTCAAATCCTTCTGGATCTGACTCTATGCTAGGTGAGTATTCAGAACAAGAGGACCTGTGGAGCTCCTCCATTTCTGCTGCCTGTCGTAGTTCTTCTGTGGGAGATGCATCTTCGATGGGAGAGAGATTACTAGGTGGTGTCTTTGGTCGTTCTCTCCTTCTCTGAGCTCGAAGTTCATCTTTGTCTTTTTTCGACTTCTTACTAGAACTCTTCCTTTGTTGCTGCTCTAATTCTCGCTGCTTCTCTTGCTCTTTTAATAATTCCTCTTCCTCTCGCAATTCTTCTTCCTCAGAAGAATCTTCAATGGTAGGTAAGAGAGGGCCATGTGACCTATGCCGAGCTTTGCGCTGCTGCTTACTTTCTCCTTTTTTGTGACTTGGGCTACTGTCACTGTCCTCATCAAGGGATGACACTGATGTAGGGGACGTGCCAGGTGTGAAGCTGGATGCATGGAGACTAGAGGACCCCTCTCCTCTAGATCTGTCTTCAGGTGAGTCCGTCAGGCTTTCCATCTCTAATTCGGGCTCTTCATCGAAATACAAAGTTGTCTTTTTCTGAGAGGATTCTGCAGAATATTTATCTGCTGTTGTGCTGTTAAGTTCTATTGTCTTAAATCGACGTAACCCTCCCCCTCCAGCAACAACAACTTCTTCACTCTCCTGACTTTTGGTTTCTCTGAATTTGAGTTCAGGACTTTCATCAAATGTTTCATCATCCTCGTCATGCCAGGAATGGCGTCTCCCTGCATCATCATCAAAGCTAGTACTACTCTTGCGAGTCAGTCGTCTGTGTTTCCCCGACACGCTTTTACCTTTCCCTTTTGTTTCTTCCCTCTTTTGGCTCTCAGTAACACCCCCAATCTCTTTGAGTTGGCTCCTAATGAATTCATCATCTTCAGAGCCAGAAGCATCCTCATCAGCACTCATCTCTATGATCTGTTTTCGAATGAAGTCCTCCTCTTCCCCTGAACCTTGACTGTCTTCCTGTTTGTACTCATCACTGCTTGATGAGCCAACACTAGTTCTCCGCTTCCTACGTACAACAGGGGAGTTTTCACTTTCACTGCTGTCTTCAATTGAATCATAGGATGCTCTTCTTGGACTTAGATCATCAACCAGCTCAGGCTTTTCTTTATGGTCCTTCCTGGAAGGAATACCTTGTTGGCTATCCTTTTTTGAAGTTTCTTTCTGTTCTGGACTCTGTTTGACATCCTGCTCTGAAATAGTAATGTCCAGAGTTTCCAATGGAGTCTCAGTTTTCTGCTGGTCCTGAGGATGCTCAGGAGACACCTTCTGGGGCTGTGTTTTCTTTTCTGATTTTTCACCAACTAGTGTACTTGCCTGAGCTTCCAAAATAGATAGTACTGTACTTTCCAACTTAGCTAAGTCCGAGGGGCTAGAAGGGCTGCTTTCTTGTGAGAAAGAGTCCTTTTTGAGTCCTTTGAGTAAGTCTTTTTCATCACTTGGTATAAGGCTTGGGATTTCACCAAGAGAACCTGATATTCCATCAGAAGAATATCCAGTGTCACTCAGACCTTGCGGGCTCTTGGGCTGCTGAGAACTGGAGGTGTCTGATTTGTCTTCTTCCTTTTCCTGGCAGAGTGGAAAAGATACAGACAAACATATTAGAGCCAAACTAATCATATGGCTTCTCCATTACTATTAAGAAATAATTAATAATTAAGAAATAATTATGAAAAAACAACTATAAGATGATAGTTTTAAAAATGTTTGTATGAGAAAAAAATGAGAACAGTTGATATTCACTAACATTGGTTAGTTTTCATTTAACCTAAATTTAAATTACATGTTAATTCTCAATGTCACTTAATTTCCTCCCATTTATTTTATGATACCCTTTTTCATTTTAATTTCACTTTGCTTCAAATATAGTATCTATATCAGTACATTTACTTTGGGATGAAGTTCAATTTGTTAAAAGAAAAAATGTCTCTCCTTTGTCTCTCTTTCTCTTCTTCTTCTTGTATGTGTGTGTGTGTATTCTTTTTCTTTAATTGGAAAAACTATTTTTCAAAGGGGTGGACATTGGAAGTAGGAGAAAACAAGTAACAGGACAGGAGCCTACCGCAGAAGGCCTCTGAAAGACTCTAGCTAGTAGTATATCAAAGCACATGCTGAGACTCATAACCAAACCTGTGACAGAGTGCAGGGAATCATATGAAAGAAGGGGGAGTTAGCATGACCTGGAGAGGACAGGAGCTCCACAAGGATCAAATATATCAGGGAACAGGCATCTTCTAGGAGACTGTTTCTCTAACTAAGGACCATGTATGGATATAACCTAGAACCCCTGCTTGGATATAGCCCATGGTAGCTCAGTATCTAAGTGGGTTTCTCTATTAAGGAGAACAAGGATTATTTCTGACATGAACTCAATGACTGTCTATTTGAGCGCCCCCCCCCCCACGCCGAGGGAGGAGCAGCCTTGCTAGGCCACAGAGGAGTACATTGCAGCCAGTCCTGAAGATATCTGATGAGCTAGGGTAAGATCGAAGTGGGGAAGGACCTGCCCTATCAGTGGACTTGGAAGGGGGCAGGGAGGAGATGAGGGAGGGAAGGTGGAATTGGGAGGGAAAGAAGGAGGGGGCTATGGCTGGGCACAAAGTGAATGACCTGTGATTAATATGAAAATAAAAATTAAAAAAAGGAAAACTGTTTTTCATATAATATATCCTGATTATGGTTTTCCCTCCTCTAAATCCTCTGTGCTTACATCAACTTGACACAATCTAGTTATCTGAAAGGAGGAACCTCAGTTGAAAAAATGCCTCTATATTAACCTGCTGTAACACATATTCTTAACTAGTGATTGCCCATCCATTGTACCTGTACCGTCCCTGGGATGATGATCCTGGGCTCCATAAGAAAGCAGGCTGCACATTCCATCTGTCTTTCTAAATGAGGATTGATCATCTTACCCCATGTCTGCTCTCTTGATTATCTTTTTTAGGTGTACAGATTTCATTATGTTTATCACATCTTGTAGGTCTATATAAGTGAGTATATACCGTGTTTGTCTTTCTCCTTCTGGGATATTTCACTCAGGATGATCTTTTCTAGATCCCACCATTTGCCTGCAAATTTCATGATTTCCTCCTTTTTGATTGCTGAGTAGTATTCCATTGTGTAAAAATACCACAATTGCTGTACCCATTCCTCCATTGATGGACATCTGGGTTGTTTCCAGGTTCTGGCTATTACAAATAAAGCTGCTATAAACATGGTTGAGCAAATATCCCTTATGTGTACTTGAGCAAACTTTGGGTATATACCTAGCAGTGGTATAGCTGGGTCTTGAGGAAGCACTATTCCTAATTGAACGTATGACAGGAGTCTACTGAGCGCATTTGAAAGACTCTAACTGGCAGTGTTTTCAAAGCAAAGACTCATGACCAAACCTTTGGCAGAGTACAGGGAATCATAAGAAAGAAGGGGAGTTAGTCTGATGGAGAAAGGATAGGAGCTCCACAAGGACCAAATATATCTGGGCACAGGGTCTTTTCTGAGACTGACATTCAACCAAGGACCATGTATGGATATAACCTAGAACCTCTGCTCAGATGTAGCCTGTGGTAGCTCAGTAACCAATTGGTTTCCCATAGTGAGGGGAACAAGGACTATTTCTAACAGGAACTCAATGACTGGCTCTTTGGCCTCCCCACCCAAGGGAGGAGCAGTCCTGTTAGGCCACAGAGGAGAGCTTTGCAGCCAGTCCTGAAGATACTTGATAAAACAGGATCAGATGAATGGGGAGGAGGTCCCCCCTATCAGTGGGCTTGGAAAGGGGCACGGTGGAGATGAGGGAGGGAGGAAGGGACTGGGAGGGAATGAGGGATCGGGACACGGCTGGAATACAGAGTTAATAAAATGTAACTGATAAGAAAAAAAAAATAAAATAAAATAAAAAAGAAAGCAGGCTGAGCAATTAAAAAGTTTTCCTGAATGGACTTCGCTATTGCATCGCATCCCTCATAATGCCATTGGGCAGTTTGTTTATTAAACACAATATACTCTCCATATTTCTTTAGTTAATGCCATCCACCCAACATTCAGAGTAAACACCATGGTACGGGGGAAAATCAATCAAAATATGGTCTTTCAGAATTTAAATTTGATAACACTGCTTTTATACTGTATTAGTGCCTACGGATATGGTAAAGCCCAATGATGTTATAAAATTTCATACATGTGAAGGTAAAGTAAAATTATTGTTTGGAACAATTACTGAACATTATAAAAGAGATACTATAGTCTTATAATATGGATTTTGAAATCTATCCTGACATTTTTATAAAAATAAGATTAAGACCAAATGCATAGAATGTAATGAAAAATATTCATGAAATGCTATCATACAATACTAAAATAGTTTCCCTACACTTGCCTGTGTATTACTTTCCTCTGTCCCATGTTTCCCTCATTCCTCTGTACTATACTCTACCTAATCATCCCTTCTGGTCCTGTCTCTCTCTCACATGCTTCACATGTTTTAATCACTATATTTCTGTGGCCCTGGTGCTGTTCTGATGCCTATTCTGTATCAAGGGGTAGCAAATCTATAGCATGTTCCTTCTATGGACTTGCTGCCCAAGACAATATGTTAAGAGTGGTTGATAAGGAATCAATGAGTTGCTTCTAATGCATCTCACTGCCAGATTCAAAGAGAGCCGTGTTCATTTACCAAGACACACTGATAAAGTTTATAACTTTATAACTTTAAAATTCATAATGTTAATTTTTCTCCCACTAACTAGATTTTGGTCTGAATCCCCTCACAGCATAATGTGCCTAACTAATTAACTACATAGTTCAGTTGTGAAACATCAGATCACTCATTAATCAGGTTCTTTGCTTCACTGATATAAGGCACTTACAAATTAATCTTTATTACTGCCATTAATCATTTTAAAAAGGATTTTTACATACCCAAACTTGGCATCCATTTACCTTTCTTGTAGTTGACTGGTTCTTAACACTGCATCATTAATAACACTTATTAGAAGGAAAAGTTAGATGCAAATTAGTCTATATCCTAATCTTGTTTTCCCTAATTATTGATCTTCAAAATGGTCACTTGAAGTAGCACAAAGTAGGATATAGTCAAAGGATTCATTTGAAGTCACCATAATGTAGACTATTTTCTCATTGATTTCTCATTACTCCAGACTAAAATATTAGAAAGACATTATTACTTCCAAAGAAATTAATCAATTGATTGAAATAATACTTGGAGATACAGACGTAACAAATATTTTTGTGTAAGACGTAGCTCACATACAGGTATATAAAATATAACTAATTTTAAAAAATATTTATTTTTATATGAATAATTGGAAAATTGACATTTTTTATTATATGTTCCACATTTTTACATTTAATACCATTTAGAACAACCTTTGAAATTTTAAATGAGAATAAAATTTCAGTTAGGTTCCTTTTGAATATAAATTTTATATCTTTGATGCAATCAGGTAGAGAGAATAGTGACGCTATAGGCAGAGTTGTTAAAACAACGATGTTATTTTTTATTCCCTGAAAGAAAACATTTTCGGTTTTTAATAATTTAGCTTCCATTTCATTACACTGGCCTATATTATACTGCATGTTTTTCATGCATAAAATGTTAGCAACTTGACTTTGCTAATATATGCATTTAAAACAACTCAAAAATTTCAGGGACTAAGCTTCATTCTCTTTTAAATTACTAATCAACATCAGGGATTAGAGAATCCCCTTTTCTGGGAGCATCTCATTGTCTTTTCTTGGACAGTAAGCCAGCCATAGATAAAGCAGTGATGAATTAGTACCATTCGAAACCCCTGTAATGGTGATGAACTGTGTGGGGTACTAGTGGGAGGAAATGATCAAAAAAAAAAAAAAAAAACAAAAAACAAAACAAAACAAAACATAACATATGCTCTGTCAAATATGTCTGTGTTCTTTCCACAAAAGTTGAACCCAGTAGCCCTCCACATTGAAAGAAAATAGGTTTCTGAAAATTATAAGAGTTAAGAACTGAGATTTAGTATACAAATAAAAATGTGCAAAAATAGGTAACTGTAAGTGCTTAGTTAATTTTTCTAAACTTGATTTTAAATGAACTAAAAGAATACACGGGTTATCTGTAATAATTTGCAGAAAGTTTATCTCAAGATAAACTGAATATATGAATATCTAAATCACCCCAATGAAGACTGAGTCCAGAAAACTGAACCCAAGAAAAGATAAAGTAGTTTACCAGAACACTTGTTAATTTTTTACTCTGATTCTACAGGCAAAATACAGTGCAGGCATTGTAGTCAATGTCTATAAATAACTTGAATATTAAACTTTCAATTATTTTAAACAAAAACCAAGGTCTATACTAAAATCAATGTTAATTTTAGTTTCCATCTTGAAGATTTTAGTTTTTCTGTACAATATATGAAATAAAGACTTCAAAAGATTTCTGTTTGGGTTAATAGGTAAAAAGGCAGAATTTTATAGTAACATGATTTAAAAAGTATGAATCTTAAATGGTTAAAGAAGTATACTTTCAAATATGTTATATTCATAATATATTCTTTTTAAATTTACTTAATAAACACATTTTTAAAAATTTGAATAAACAAAATCATGTAGTGACAAAGAAATATAAGCAACACAGTATTAAAACTGGCAAATTGATAAATGAATATAAAATAGTAAAAATATTCAAACTGTCAAAGTTACACAAAAGATTGTGCCAAAAGTTACAAAAAGAGATGAGTAAGGAAAGATAATTTTTCAGAAGTGTTCCAGGAGAAAAGTCATCACAGGTTGTGGTTGCGAGTAGAGGCTTTATAATCAGAACTACTGTACTAAAATCCTCATTTGCTGTTTTCCTCCAAGTACACTTGTATTTGGAGTATAAATTCTGATTTCCCTATTTTTAAAACAGCCATCATAATGTTTATATGATCAGTATTTGTGTAGCTTAGATAGGAAGAAAAAAATGTAAAGTGCCTAGAATATGGTAAGAGGAGTATTCCTTGGATTTTAAAGTGGCAGTTATAAAAAACGAGCCAATCTAGGGAGTTCTGCAGCAGGAGATGTTGACTTTCAGTCATCGGCTGAGGGGAGAAAACAATATGTGCCTGAGCATCACATGGAAGTGTCTGTAGTCTTGATCTCTCACTAGCAGAGGATGGCAAGGGTTGCAGGAAAGTTAAAATGAAGCCACATGTCACAGGGTGGAAAAGCCACGCTGAGCTATTTAGGCAGGACTACACACTGTTGAGTGTAGATAGCCTGTCCTCTATGAAAAACCCCATGGCAGGAAAAAAAACTAAAATGTTAATGATATCTTTACATACAGGATACACATCATATATATAAGATAAAAGAAAAAGTGTATATTTTCCCTGTTTTTTACTTTAAGGTATATCATGTGTAGCCCTCTGAACTAATCTGTATGGCTATTTATGGTTCTTCAGTGTAGTCTTCTCTTGCTCTTGAGATTAGAGGGATGCAACTAGATGGATATTATTTCTTCCTTATAGAACTGTTTGAGTTGTAATGAACATACATCATTTTTGTAACTAGGATTATCTGATAAAGTTTAAAAATTTGGGAGTGTACAAAAAAGGCTTATTGTTGGGTAAGGAAGAAATATGGCTTGTATTACATAGTTTCTGCTAACCACATTTTCTACAGTCAGTAAGTAGCAGGCATAACAATAGCACACACAAGCAAAGGTCATGTGTTTATAAAACTTATAATGCAAAGAAGTCACAAGGATATCACCAGGGAACTGACACTTGTATATTGCTACAAGCATTTGTTATGCAAGATGAAACAATGGTAAGTTAAATGAGATGCAAAATGAAGTAAGCAAAAAATGTTTGGAAGTGACAGGAAAAGTTGATGGAATCCACATCTATAACCATTATGAAAATAATAAATTCAGGAGCTCAAGGAAGCAATAAGTAGAGGGATGTCCTTATCATCAATAATGGTATGGGGGACACAGGCAGGGAAAAAAGGGACTTCCCCTGCATCAGATCAGTGCCTGGAAGACAAGAGGCAGGTAAATGATGGTGTCACTATTCCAGAGAGAAAAAAGGAGGAACAGGTTCTCTAGAAAATTGAGTAAAAGTCAAACATGTTGAGCGTGAATTTACAGTGAGGTTTTAAGAGGAACTATCTACTTTGGTACACAGAGTTCTGAAATTAAAATATAGAGACTTATGTGAATTTAATGGTTATTCATGTGACTCCTCTTGATAGAAAAGAAAGAAAAACCAAAGCAACAACAACATGGAGATTGGCAAAAAAAAAAAAAAAAAAAAAAAAAAAAAAAGCCTGGAAATGGCAAATGCAGAACCCAAAGATGATCAGAAAGAGAAAGAGAAAAAGAGTGGAGATGGGTTAGCAGCCATGTGTCAAATCATAAACAATAGCAAACTCCCACAATCTGATTGAAGGTTGCAATTCTAATTTCTACTCAGAATTTTAAAAGTTATACAAGTAGGTTTTATATGGATCATTGATGTCCTCTATGAATTAAAATTATTTAATTAGATATAAGATACTTTACAGATTTCTAGGCAGCTTCTGTTTTCTTTCCTAAGTATATATACATACACACATCTATGGAACAATTAAAAAAAAATCAAAGAAAAAGATCCCATCAGTTTAAGAGGGAGTTAAGTGTATAAAGGAGACTGAAAGGGATTAGAGGGAACAGATATAGGAAGGTGAAAAGAAAAAGAGGAAGGTGGTATAATTAGACTAATTAAAATTATTATACTTTGAAAAATTAGAGTTCATTTAAAGGGGCAGAATGGCTAATGCAAATATTTCTTAAGATGGGGAATTTTGAAAATTCTCACTAAAGGGAAAGTATTTTAGATTACATGTAGATTATAACTAACCCTCCCATGTTAAACATATGACAAACTAAATTATGAGAAACACTAGGATTAACTGTGAATATATGAAATTACTTTCATTCTGAATTTTGACCACACCTCTCTTGTACTGATCACAGCTTAGAAGTCTATGTAAAGGGAAAGCAAAAGAAAACAAGCAATAACAAAAAGCTCCTTGGCTCTTACAAAACCAAAGAGCCTAATGATACATGGTTTTAGGTAAAGAGAAATACTGATTTATATGTTCATTGTGTGTTATAAAAAAATTAATAATAACTTGGAACTACAGGAAACCTTTCCATTTTCTATATGATTTAGAAAATTTTACAATTATTCTCTGTGGAATTTGATTAAGGTTTCAAAATGCCTTTGCTTTTAAGTGAATAAAAGTTAGAGTTCTCTGAAAAGCAATTCACAGTTTAAAGGTTTTATGTCTGTCTTGTCCTTGATCATCTCAGGTACTAAGTAAATCTACTGTAGTGTGTATGCAAGACTGTAAGAGTAGGAAACACAACTTACTGTCCTTACTTTGCTAGGCTCCACGTGGTCATAACTTGCGCTGCCCTCTGCCTGGGGCTCTTTCACAGCTTTGCTTTCCTTCTCTCCTTCCTTTGGCAAAGTCTCAGGTGTGACACTTGGCAGACCTTCAACTTTGGTCTCTGGCTGCCCCTGTTCTACCTTTGCAGTCACTCTGCCTGTGGGCTTTTCTTCTGGAGTTTGTACATGAGCTTTAAGCATATCACGTTTCTCTTCCCCTTCTGAGGTCAATGGCTTTACTTCTGGGGGTAACTTCTCATCTTTGGAAGCTGGCTTCTTTTCTTCAAGCGGTGGTGTTTCTTCGGCAGGTGGCTTCTTTTCCTTTTTATCTTCAGGTAGCTGTTTTTCCTCTTCAGAAGGAGGTTTCTTTTCCTGCAGTGCTGAAACTTTGCTTTTGTCTACTTTACTCTCCTCTGGTTTTTGATCTAGGGTTACAACTGTAGGAGTTTTCTCAATTGATGCTGTTTCTTTTTCTGGGATCAGTTTTTCAGTTTCTTTTTTTACTTCTGTTTCTTTCTTTTGGCCTTTTACATGGGTGCCTGTGGGTGCTTTCTGAGACGATGTTTCTGCAGGGCCAGGTACAGGGGATACTTTGGATCCTGATGATGCAGGTGGCATTTTGCCCATATCTCCAAGTTGTCCAGACAGTGCCCTCTGTGTCTGGCAGTTTAAACAAAGCCACTCTTGAACCTGCAGAACAAACAGCAACAAAAAAGATTAGGAAGGAGTATTGTAGACTTTCTATTCTAGTGCATTAATCAACATGAAAGTTGAAAAGGGATGTAAGCTGCTATAAACATGCTTGAACAAATGTCCTTGTTGTGTATTTGAGCCTCTTTTGGATATATGTCTAGGAGTGGGATAGATGGATCTTGAGGAAGCGCTATTCCTAATTATCTAAGAAAGCGCCAGATTGATTTCCAAAGTGGTTGTATAAGTTTGTATAAGCAGTGGAGGAGGGTTTCCCTTTGTCCACAAACTCTCCAGCATGTTTTGTCACTTGAGTTTTTGATGTTAACCATTCTGATGGGTGTAAGGTGAAATCTCAGGGTCATTTTGATTTGCATTTCCTTGTAGCAGCTTTATTTGTAAAAGCCAAAACCTGGAAACAACCTAGATGTCCCTCAATTGAGGAATGGATACAGCAATTGTGGGACATATACACAGTGGAATGCTACTCGGCAATTAAAAACAAGGAAATCATGAAATTTGCAGGTAAATGGTGGGAACTAGAAATGAACATACTGAGGTATTCCAGAAGCAGAGAAGCACACATGGTATATACTCACTTATAAGTGGATATTAGACATATAATATAGCACAATCATACTAAAATCTATACACCTAAAGAAGCTAAGAAAGAAGGACGACCCTGGGTAAGATGATCAATCTTCATTCAGAAAGGCAAATGGGACAGACCTCCAAAGAGGAAGAAAACAGGGAACAGGACAGGAGCCTACCACAGTGGGCCTCTGAAAGACTATGCCCAACAGAGTATCAAAACAAATGCTGAGACGCATAGACAAAACTTGGGCAGAGTACAGGAAAACTAATGAAAGAAGGAGAGATAGAAAGACCTGGAGGGGACAAGGATTCTACAAGGAGAACAACAGAACCAAATCTGGGCAAAGACGTCTTTTCTGAGACTGATACTCCAATCAAGGACCATGCATGGAGATAACCTAGAACCCCTGCGCAGACGTAGCCAATGGCAGCTCAGCATCTAAGTGAATACACTAGTAATGGGAACAGGGACTGTCTCTGACATGAACTCAGTGGTTGGCTCTTTGGTCACCTCCCCAAATGGGGGAGCAGCCTTACCAGGCCACAAAAGAAGACAATGCAGACAGTCCTGATAAAACCTGATACACTAGGGTCAGATGGAAGTAGAAGAGGACCTCCCCTATCAGTTGACTTGGAGAGGGGCATGGGAGAAGATGAGAGAGGGAGAGTGGAATTGGGAGGCAATGAGGGAGCAGGCTAGAGCTGGGATACAAAGTAAATAAACTGTAATTAATATAAAAAATAAATTTTTTTCAAAAAAATAAAATAGAAGATATATATATATATATTAATAATTAATGGAAGAGGGATATAAGAAGGACGAAGGACCCACGGAAGTACTCACTTGGGGATTTTGGGTGGAAAGGAATCTGTAAATTTGAAAGAAAACTATTTCATGCTTAGTATGTTCAAACATAGCATTTCCATCATAAATTTATTCTTATACAATTATATTTCATAATAATTTTCATTTTGTTCAAAATTAAGCAGAGGTTATTTGAATTTAGTTTTCCAACTCTTTATCTCTTTGTATCAGCGAAATAAAATTCCACAGAGTACGATAGATTTTTTTTTTTTAAATTCTCTATCTTCTGTGGCCTGGTAAGGCTGCTCCCCCCTCAGGGGTAGGTGATCAAAGAGCAGGCCAATCAGTTCATGTCAGAGACAGTCCCTCTTCCCATTACTATGGAGCCCATTTGGAAGAGGAAGACAATGCAGCCACTCTTGATGAGACCTAATAGACTAGAATCAGAAGGAAAGAAAAGAAGACCTCCCCTATCAGTGGACTTGGGGAGGGGCATGCCTGGAGAAGGGGGAGGAAGGGAAGGATTAAGAGGGGAGGTGGGAGGGAGCTACAGGAGGGGGGGATACAAAGTGAATAAAGTGTAATCAATAAAAAATTTAAAAAATTCTCTATCTTCTTTCTAGTTAATAAAATCATTTCATTTTTAATACTAATCACATGTATTCCTCAGTTAAGGCAGGAAAGATCATAGTTCCTATTGTTTGGCATGTTTTTCAAAAACGTATTCAGATTTTCTGCCTGAGATATTTCCTTATGTGATTGCTGCTCAGTATATAGCAAGTTGTCTCTCTTCAGCAGATCACCTTAGGTGGTACCCAGCTATATGCTTTCCAGTATTAGCATAGCACTGGGTGAAGAAAAGAGGACCCCCCCCCATCTTGAGAAACTGCCAGCTCACTGTTTTGCAACCTAAGGTAGAAAACTACTCTCTGAAAAAAAAGCACATGAAAACTGATCACACAGGGGGCAGATGCAAACGTGATGGCAGGAACTCTCCTTGACTTTTGAATTTTCTGTTTTGTCCTCCATTATATCTATTTTAATATAAGATATTCTAATTAATACCATTTAATTTGTATCTATTATGCAAGGAACAAGGTGGGAAGTTCCTATAAATAAGTTTGCCTGCTTTTTTATGTTGCATTGCCTCCAGATAAATTTAATTTCAAATTGCTTTTCATATTGGCTCCTCTCTCCAGGTGCTTGGATTAAATTTATTACAGAAAAACCACTTACTTTTGTACAATACTATTAGAGAAAAGTTTCATTTTGTTCCCTGCTTTCTGTTTTTTTAGAGATGGTGCTTAATATATTTGACAATTTTCTAATCTGTAAGGGGTTATGGATCCTTAACTTCTTATCAAAGTACAAAGGTAAAAACCAATGGTTAAGTTTAGTAAGGCCTGTCTGTAAAGCATTAGGATGTATTTGGGTCCCTTTGCTTTGGTGTGAACCCTCAAGATCAATCTTTTTATTTTTTTATTTTTTTGTTCTTTTCTTCCTTTTCCTTTATTTCTCTGTTTTTATTTCTTTTTTATTCCTTCTTTCTTTCCTTCCTTTCTTTCTTCCTTCCTTCCTTCCTTCCTTCCTCCCTCCCTCCCTCCCTCCCTTCCTTCCTCCCTTCCCTTCTTTCCTTCCTTTTCTTCTTTCTTTTAAGACAGGGTTTCTCTGTGCAGCCCTGCCTGCCTCTCGGTAGACAAGGCTGACCTCAAACTCAGAAAATCTACCTGCCTCTGCCTCCCAAGTGCTTGGGTTAAAGTCATCACCATCATCTGGTGATGTACCAATATTAATCCTTATTATGTTTCTGTGAAAGCATCTCTGGTGTGAAGCACAGTTTTACAAAACAGCTATGTCCATACATCGTGGGAAAGAAGCTGACTTGATCACTTGTCAAACAGAGAGTGCCTCATCTCTGCACTGAATAGTCCCCCAAAATAATACCTGAGAACATCAATCTTTATCTGTACTACAGTTCAAAAAACCATGACATGATTGAAATACATCTTAAGATTTTTCATTATTCATATTTTGAGGTTGACATTTCAAAAAAAAAAAAAACAGCAGACAAAAAAAAAAGCAGTCTCAGTGCTGTTTTGTCACAAGAACTCTAAAAATCACATGCAGGTGAATACTAAGCATTTTTATCAAGACATTTCCTTATGTAAATGAGCTGGGGACTTTTAATCTATCAGGAAAGTGGTTTTCATTCCATTGGAAAGTTTTGTCTATTATGTAATTTTGATTATATTTTGTGAAATTACTTTTAGTTAGTTGTCTTATATTGAGTATATGGTAAGTACATATGATAAGCCATGTACCACAGAATACATAGCTTTTGTTAAAAGGACCTGTGTTGAGAAAATGAAGCACAGTAGTATTTGGGAGAGAGTATACTCAGTATTTTCATAACTTTTGGAATATAGGTAAGAGGGTTAACACTGCATAGTATATGCATCTAATCTTATTATGCGAAATAAGACACTTCATTTCCTCAATTTACAGTATTTTGGGTAAAGTTATAAAGCAGTGGTGACTATACCACCAGCATCTGTCATGTGAACAGGATAAGGTATAGTGCTAAGAGATAACAGCTAGCTACAATCTCTGAAACCTACAGCCTCTCTGAGCCTGCTAGATGTACTGGCACAAAAGTAGAACAAATGCTACAGGAGGTAACCACCTGTTTTTTCGTTGGATTTATGTCACGCTCTGCAAGATGGATTTTATATCTGACAGTGTTAATGAGACCAAGAACCTGAGGCTAAATAAGTCATGGAACTCTACTGTAATCATTCTGTTAAATCAGCATAACAATAAAATAATTCCTAATGACATCTTGTCATACCTATAAATAAATGCACTTCTCAACTCTCCTCAGAGAAGCTTCGTCTTACTGTAATTAACACTGAAATCCACAAATGAACAATGTGCAGCGAGTAGAAGAGTTTAGAATTTTTAACCCTGTATTCAGTATCTGCATCACAATTCTGAAATCAGAGCTCAAGAGCAGAAGATGGGTTGAAAAGATTTTAAGAGCCACAGTGATTGGATGAATTCAAGGAAACAACATTTTTCTAGATGCAACAGGGCAAATGCACATAGAAAATCACGTAGACTATGACAACAGTCACAAGACCTGCACAAATTGAAGTCAGACTAAGTGCCATCACAGAAGACAGGAATAAATTCCTACACCTACCCAAGACACTGTACATGATGCATAGATGGTAAGAAAAGAAAATTCAGGTTTTTCCCATGGAGTGAAAAGTCATATTCCTTTGTTTTTATGCATTTTGCAGATTTTAATGATCTTTCTAAGGATACTTATTAGTGTTACTGGAAAAAACTATAATAAAAGATTTTAATCTATGTAATTATTAAATATAACATAATCAGAAGCCTCCATATTATGAAAATAATCACCTACTTATTTACTTCTATAACATAAGTTATTAAAATATAAAATACATATCCAAGTAGTGAAAATTCTGATAAATATGAAATGTATAAAAATAAATATGCTGATTACACAAAACTCAAACACATTCAATTGTAAGCTAGAACAAGTTACTAAAATTCATTTAACATCAAATCATCA